CACCAATATAGATTTATAAATAATTCATGCATCAGTGACGGTGCTTAGGAATAGATCAGGGAGTGCTTTGCAACCAAAAGGAAAGTTATACTCTAAATTTGGTATCTCCAAAGTGTTTCCAACTTTTCTTCAAGCTAGTTCTGGAAAGAAAGTTCTCTTTAAGTCTGACAGACATTGGATATTTGTTGCAAGCCACCAAGGAATTCTTTCATATCAAATATCCTGTTCAATATTCTTCATTGTTCCCAAGAATAGAGATTGTTATGATCAGTATTGCATTTGAAAAAAATAAATTGGAATCAATTTATCAGATAAAGATAGTTTAGGATTAAGCATTCCGTATCTTTCTGGTCTTCCTACAGACCAAAGATTTCCTTACCTTTAACAGTCTTCCAGATGAATTCAAATGCCAACCTAACTTCTTCATTATCAATTTTTTGCATATTAGTTGCAATTCAAAGCCCTCTCCCTTGAGTTCTTTCCTACATGCTTAAATTATTCACCAGTGTTTTAGTAATGTTCGTAAATAATGAATTTGGGGAAATATTGGAAAGAGTAATCTCCATCTAATGCCAGATTGGGGGAAGTACTCAATATGCAATATGTTGAACAACAAGATGAAGTCAGATCCAATTCTAGAAAAACCCAAGAATTTAAACATGGAGCATTCACATACATTGATATTTTATATCAGTATTTTGCAGTAGCCCTGTCTTCTGTGCATTTATTATTTATTGTTTGTCTGCAAGCAGGCAACTGATGCAATCTGCTCAGAGTCGCTCGCTTCATGAATTGTTATTTAATAAATAATAAATATTATTTAATAAATAATAATACTTACTGATTCTGTGAATTCTGTTTTAGTAACTTCCAGATAATGGGATTAAGTGCCTAGAATGCAGGGATTTATTCAGTAGTGGGATTCAGCTGGTTCACACCACTTTGGCAGAACTGGTAGCTAATTTTTTGTTGCCCAGGGACTTCTGGAAGCAGCATCCACACAGAGAACCGGTTGTTCACATATTTGAATCCCACCACTGGATTTATTGCTATCCTTGTGAGTCAGACATGCACTCACCTCTCCCCCTGCCCCCCCTAATGTATAGAGCAGGGCTTTTCAAACTTTTCACCCATTGTACCACTTTTAGGATAAGGCAATATCCGAGTACCACCAGTCGCCCAGCAAGGTGTCAAAAACTTGACCAAAAAAGGGGGAAAAAAATGATAAAGTACAGGTAGTCCTCAACTTACAACAATTCGCTTAGTGACTGTTCAAAGTTACAACGGCACTGAAAAAAGCAAATTATGACCATTTTTCACACTTAATGCTGTTGCAGCATCCTCAGGGTCATGTGATTTACATTCGGATGCTTGACAACTGATTCATACTTATGATGGTCACAGTGTCCCAGGGTCATGTGATCACCTTTTGCAACTTTTTGACAAGCGAAGTCAATGGCCAGGGGGGCGTGGCCAGCTCATCACTCAGGTTGCAGGATGCCTGTGAGGGTGCGAGCAGGGATGTGGGGGGGGGATCTGTGAGTCTCTGGTGGAGGGGGGGACAGGTATGGGCACCTTCCTTTCCTCCCTCTCTTCCTCCCATTGTCTCTTCCTTCCTTCTTTCCTTCCTTCCCTCTTTGTCCCTTCCTCCTTCCCTCCCTCCTTTCCATTGTCCAGGGCTATGGGAGCGGGGAGGGCATAAAAGGGCCCGGAGGAGGCAATTGGAGTTTGGCCGCCGCTGCCGCCACCACCGCTGTTGCTGAGCCAGACGGCTGTGCAACGGCGGCTGCTGCGGTTCCTGCTTGCTGCTTCTCCTTTGCTGCTTCTTCTGAAAAGGAGCGGCGGTCACACTTGGTGCAGCCGGGAGCCCAGCACAGCCGCTGTTCTTCTGCAGGGAGAGGAGAGTGCAGGCAGCGGAGAAGTGCATGGCTGCCGGACTCCCTCTGGTGCGTTGTGCACGGTCACAGCCAGAGAAAAGCAGTGAGCGGGGAAGCGGCTCATTCATTGCTGCAGCCACAATCCGGAGCAACGGGCAGCCCCGGGCATTTCTTTTATGGGCACGGTGGAGCCTCAATACCAGGCTGGACCCTGGGAGGCTCCTCAGTGCCAAGCCGAAATGCAGCTGCAGGTGCAAAGGGGCGCTTTTCGGGCTCCAGCCCCATCGCTGCACTGACCTGCGGGCGAAAATGGGCCTTCCTCTCCAGATGAGAGGTGAGTCCAGCAACTGGAGGGCAGCCATGAGAGCGGCAGGAAGAGCAGGCGGGGCCTTGCCGGAGAGGGCCGCCCCACACCCTCTAACGGTGGTCAGAGCAATGACGCGCAGCTGCCAATCCCGCCCTTCTCAGCTTGCCCATTCTTATTCCCCCTTCCCAAAAGGCGGTGCTGTAAACTTTACAGCTTTCTGTAAGCAAGTGAGATGAGCAGGAGCACGAGATTGGTGTTTCTGAGCACACACCGTTTTGCGCCCCTGCCCATCTTTTCGCTTGCCGGCACCCACAATTTGCCCGGCCTGCCCTCTCCCTACTTTGAACAGCTCCTCCTGGGCCTCCCGTGCTCGCCACCATGCACGGTAAGGTTGGTGCCCTCGCCCCCGCCCAAATGCCCTCGCCTCTCCCAAGCATTTTTTTACTCACTTGCTTTCAGCTGCACTCCCTTTCTCCTTTTGCTTCTCTGCCTTTGCCACGTGTTTGTGGGTAAAAAAGAAAAAAAAAGTTCCATGAGACGTTCTAACTTCTCGCGAGAAGTTAGAAAGTCTCATGGAACTTTTTTTTTGTCTCACAAACACATGAAGGCTGAGAAGGACAGGAGAAAGGGAATGCTGCTGAAAGCATTTGAGTAAAAAAACGCTTGGGGGATGTGAGGGCATCTGGGTGGGGGCAGGGGGGATCCAGGAATGTGTCGCGCAGCTCCAGCGGAATCTCCACTGAAGACTGCTTGAGGCTGCCTGCTACCCCCAAGGCCGCCGCCAATCAGCTGGAGCTGCACACTTTGATCCTGGGCTCTCAGTAGGACCCAGGCAACGTGCAGTTCCAGCTGACTTTGCCACAAGCCTGTGCGGCGGTCTGTCGCTTCACCTCATCCACTTTTACACTTTTTTAAACATTTTTTTTACATTTTTTTTTCAACACGTCCTATGAGTACCACCAGCCAGGTGCTCGCGTACCACTGGTGGTACGCGTACCACCGGTTTAAAAGCCCTGGTATAGAGGATATCCAGAACTCGTCCTCTCTCTGATGAAGCTGAGATTTTACTGGGCAGAAATTACTCTTATGATACTTACCTGCACTTTATGCTAGGGAACTTTTTTAATGCTGCTTGTCAGTTTATAAATAGACTGGGAGATTGCTTTCTATTTAAGTACATATAACATCATCATCATCATGATCTATGAAGACCACATTGGGCAGCAAATGTTTTCCAGTGGTTTCGATCATTCGTAGCATCTTAAGATCTTCCTTAAGTATTTGGTGCCAGGTTTTCCAAGGCTGGCCTGACTTCTTCTTTTCTCCAGGAGGTATCCAATGTAGTGCAATTTTTGCATGCCAGTATTTAGGCATATGTTAGATTTGGCCAAGAAGCCGCATTCCATTTTTATTCACAGTTCTTGTTAGGGGTTCTAAATCTGATCTTTCTAACATCTAACAGCAATGAAGGAAATCTTAGGATAAATTGAACACAGAGTAATATTCACTTGGAGAAATATCTCAATAATGGTAAAATCAACAAAGGATATTTGCTCTTCTACTATCATGTATCTGTATCTGTATCTATATCTGTATACTTATACCTATTGTCAACGCTGCTAACATCGGATGTTCTTGCTTTGACAATATGCAAAGATGCAGCCATTTTCTCTTTAACCTGTGTATTACTTTTAGAGTTAGAATTAGATGGTGCTGGAGGGGAGGGGAAGAATGTGCATGGGGATTAGATAGACATAACAATATCTCAGTAGAGTATTCTTCAAGGTTGTTTGTAATAAGAGAAGATAAGAAATGGCTGGAATGGGAGGGAAAGTTTGCACTTCAAACTAATTGGAGAATGTGATTAATGACTATTAAATGGAGGAGTGAATTATGCTTGATACTATGTGTTTAGGGGAGGAGAATTCAGATTTTGGCTTCGTCTATGTACGTACCGAAGCTATGTTGCTCAATTAAAGATTCTTTAAGGTAAACAATGCCTCAAAGTTCTTTGAAGAGTTTCATCTTTCGGAACCATGACACCTATACCTATGCCTACACACCCACACTATAGATATCCCTCAACTTATGATCACAATTGGAACTGAAACTTTTATTGCTAAATAATGTGGTCATTGAGTCACACCCAAATTTATGATTTTTTTTGCCACAGTCACTAAATGAATCATGTGGTTGTTAAGTAAATCTGGCATCCTCCAACTTTGCTTGTTGGAAGGCCGCTGGCAAATGGGGCCCATGTTACCCTGGGATGCTGCAAGTTGTAAATTCCTGCCTGAATTTTGATCATGTGATTACAAGAACATTGGTCGTTATAATTATTGTCATTAGTGTGAGACTAGTTGTAAACCATTATTTTCACACTGTTTAACACCATGGTTGATACCTGTATGATATCATTGCTTTACCATATTTTACAGCATGTTCTTTACCAGGTTGCTAGGAAAATGCTAGAATAATTAATGGGGGAGATTCATTCTTTGCTGATACTTGAGTAAAACAGCCTCAGCTCCTCCTGATGTGATCTCAGCAAGTGCTTGTTACGTTACCTATTTTAAACTCTTTTCAGCTTCTGAACCTCAAAAATATAGAAGAAACAATTAAGTTAGGGAACCTGGGCAGTAGGGATATAATTTTTTTTACTTTCTTAATAATGTATAGTTAGCTGAAATATCTTGCAGCTTCTAAACTTCTTCATAATAATAACACTCTGCTATTTATAATGACATTTTACTATTATTATGTATGAAGATGAACATACTTTTTTTTAAAAAAGTAACTTGTGTTTTTTTTCCTAGCATTGCATCGAATTGAGTGTTGGTAATAAAGAAGAACATGCAGTGCTTCTGTGTAATTATCTTCTGTACATTGGGAAAAAAGCCTGGGTATTGTTAGGAACATCTGTGTTAGAAGTAAGAGCAAAATAATTTTTGAATTAGCAAAATATTAAAAACTGTGCTTCCCAAATATTATAAACAATGAGTGAAGTTGTAAAGCAAATTGAGATTCTTATGTGAAGAAAAGCATTAGCACGTATGTTAAATTAAGCAACTTAAGCCATGGAGGCTTTTAAAGAAGCTTTCAAGGGTATCTTTTCAAACAAAATGATCTGATCTGAAAGCTGAATTAGTCTTGATGTCACAGTATTCATTAGTATTCACTAGCATATGTGAATATGCAATGCTTCTTGCTGAGGGATAGTGCACAAAGTCAAAATGGAAATTAATTAATTCATTATCAATCAATCAATCAATCAATCAATCAATCAATTTCCACAATGGAAGAATGAGAGAAACTGATGGAATTAGTGGAGGTCACCAAATTAACTTGCCCCAGCCCCTGCCCACCTAGCAGTTCAAAAGCATGCAAATGCAAGTAGAAAAATAAGTGGGAAAGTAACAGCGTTCTGTTCGTCTTGGCATATAGTCATGCTGGCCACATGGATATGTCTTCAGACAATGCTGTCTTCCTTGGCTAAGAAATGGAGATGAGCACTGCCTCATAGAGTCAGACACAATTGGAAAGGGGAAACCTTTGCCTTTCTTTAACGTTCAATAATGAGCAAGTAAAATAGGTACTGTATAAAATAGGTCATAGAAATATAGCACCTGTAAAAAGTATGTAGATTGAATAGAATTAAAACTAAATGACATTTACCCAGTATTGGGCCATGTCAACAGCATTTTTTGTCACTAACATGATTTACTGATTAGATAAGTTTTCTTTGTTATAGAAATGATTAGTAAATACTGAATATGCAAAGTATAAAAAGGTGAGACTATAATGTTATTATGTTCATTCTATTATGCTGAAAAAAGTCAGATGTTGATGCTTTTTTTCTTTTTGCCTATTTATTCTATGCCTCTTTATTTCCCCTTTTCTCCCTCCCCATTTTCCCACTATTTTCATTTGTATTTTATATTCTAATAAGCTGTATTTTATATTCTAATAGGTTTAATAATATTATACTACAATAAAAAGAAATAGTGCACAGAAATGTTGTACTGGAAATAGAAATACAAATAGAATACAGTTGGGAAGTTGAATAACAATTACATATTTATTGCAGTTTTAAAAAATAATTTGCCCATAATAGTTGATGGAACAATTATTTGCATGCGTATTGTATCAACACGATTTCAATTTACACTGATTTGCACATCCAGTTGATTCTTTTTATTTAATTTAAGATTTAAGCAAACTCCATGATAGATATTGAGGATTAAGTTCAGAACATATGTCTCCTTTTTGAATAGCAAAGATAAATAATTACATACAATAATCTTAAACGAGAATGACCAAAGATGGGAAACCAGAAATGAAATTGCACCATGATAGTTAGATTATTGTGTATTGGAAGTAATATTTGGAGAGCTACAGGTGTTCCTATTTCTACCTTACATATGTCAGTGTTCTCATTCTAAAACTCAAACCAGATATTTATATTAATTTATGTAGGTTTTCCCCCCAAAAGTGTGCTACATGAATAATTTATTAATTAGAAAATATAATTAAATATAAAATTATTTATTTTGTATTTGGAATCAATAAAAATTTTGCTAATAGGGGAAAGTAGCTTATGTTGCAACACAAGAAAATGGAGAATATTTTCTGTGGAATCCCCTGAGTGGCCACTGCTATAAGCAGTTTGATGCATTTTGCCCCCTACAGAGTGTGGATTGCTTAATCAGTTGGGAAAACGTAAGTATTTATAATAAAATAGCTTAATATTTATATGTTACTTATATGTAAGTGTGTAGGTCTATACATATTTTGTATATAGTATGTTTAAATGTGTGTTATGTATGTGTACACTTTGAGAGCAAGCAGCTAAATTTCATTTTTAATGTGTGCCATTGTGTCCACAGTAAAAATGACAATAAAAGTTATCTATCTATCTATCTATCTATCTATCTACCGTCCGCCCGCCCGCCCGCCCGCCCATCCATCCATCCATCCATCCATCCATCCATCCATCCATCCATCCATCCATCCATCCATCCATCCATCTATCTATCTATCTATCTATCTATCTATCTATCTATCTATCTATCTATCTATCTATCTATCTATCTATCTATCTATCTATCTATCTATCTATCTAATAATGTATATATAATCCTAATTTATCCAAGTATCTGGACATTCCATGATTATAGTATTACAATTAATATGACGTGGGTGGGGGTTGGAGATGAGATACATTGAACATTTCTGATACTCTGTAATTTTTAAAAATCTAATGTAAGGGAACAGATTGCTATCCTATCGTGTCTAATTTCTTGGACAGCTCTCTCCATTCAACTTCCAAACATGTTCAGTTGTTCTCTTGCTTTAGCTGGAAGAGTTTCATTTCTCTAAGCTTTTCTCAAGTGTGAAGATTTGTAGCTCAATTTATTGATTTCTTTTTGGTTATCACCAAAAATAATTAAATTTAAAAAATGTCAGACATTTACTATATTTTGAAGTCTTAAAGACAAAAGCTTTCTGTATTTTGTAGTCTTAAAAGCTTTGTTATTGCACTACAATGGAATGCATATATAAAGTACAACATGGAATGTACATGTAACGAAAATCTGAGAAAACCAGATTTTCTGTCCCACCATTGGCCAAGGAGATCCTGCCTTCTTTTGTTAGAAGTCAGTTTTGGTTACATTGAACAAATATTATAAAGTAAATTCTTCCAAAACATGATAAACTTGTACATTTTCTTTTAGAAGATCCCAAGTGGAAGTGAATTAAGAATTTTTCCCCAGCACTATTCTCTAATGCCAAACCTCCAGAATTGATATTACTACACACAAAAATTTCTGAAACAAATTTTCAATGAGAAAATGAGGAAGAAAGGATTACGGTAATCACTTTCTTGTATGACCTTTAAAATTAGGGTTCTACAGTTACATTTATTTGGAGGAAAGTGATTGATCAAGAAGCACACTTTTTAATTTATCTATTTTATATGACATTTAGTTTAATGTTTCAGCATAAGAAACTCACAGAGGGCTCAAAAATAAACAATACTTGTGTACATGGGAAGAATTACGGTAGTAATATGCTTGAATAGATAAAAACTATTTTCTAATATAGGTAAAATTTGAAAGTTACTAATCTTTTTTAAAATATCTAAGTTACTATTTCTGAATATTAAACTGAAATTATTCTTTTCCTATTTTATTTCTATATATTTTGCTGAAATTAGTAAAATGTATATGTTTACATTATAAATTATAATTGTATTTATGTGCAAGGAAAAATATTGAATGAGATGACACCAAGAGGTTTGTACCTTGTGAAGAAATATATAAGTGAAACACAATATAGTGAATATAAATTAATGCAGGAGAAATAAGAAAACTACTTTTTAGACCTCTGATAAAGATATGAACTCAAATTACAACTTTCTTGATAATTTCTTAAAACACTTAAATTCAAAAATGTGACACAACAAAAATGTTTTAATATTTTAAAATCATGATTTAACATATGTTCTTTAGATTGAGTTAGATTTATAAAAATATAAAGTATATAAAAATAAATATATTTTGTAAGTCATTTTTAAAATAACATTTTATAGATCTGGTTTAACATTCAACAAAACAATTCACCTATGTGCACCAGTTTTGACATTTCAAAGGAAGGCTTTTGGAAACAATTGCTTCCATACAATTTCCAGAATTCAAAAACACAAACAGTGCAGGTAAGAACCATTTCAGTATCTAAAAATTATAATTCATAATTGAATTTTTACATTTGAGGTGTGTGTACGTGAATTCTTTCCTTAAAAAAGGGATGTTTGTGAAAAGAGATAGATATAAGACAGACATGTCAAACACATGACGTCATGTGATGTCACGCAATGTATCGGGCCGGTTTTGCCATTGCTGGCAATGGGGTGGGCGCAGCTTCCAGATGATGCGTCCGGTCCGTGGGCTGGCAGTTTGACACCCCTGATATAAGGAATATAGCCTGAGGAACTAGTATTAAGATATTGCTAGCCACTCCAATTCAGGATAAGATGGGATAAATTTGTTTAACATTTAATGATATATTCCATCTTTACCTACCCTAACAGTAATGTTCTTTCTATAACTTTGTGTATCATACTGCTGCTTCTAGAAATGCAAATGATAGGTATGGCCATCTACGATATGTGTTTTTAGCACATTTTTAGCACATTTAGCATAGATTTTGGACAATATGCATTCTTGAAAGAGAAACTTGGCTATAGTAAAACAAGTGCTGGCCACCTGAAGTCTGGGACTAGAACAAATTTTCTTATTTGTGAAAGCACATGGTATATCTAATCACATCTAATCACATCCAAGGTTTTCTCACCAGTTTTACTGCCTCCATTGCTTATTCACCTACATTCTTAGCCAAATATGGAACAGTTCTGCTGCATACCTTCTTGAATACAATAAAACAAAAGTCAAGAGCAAGAAGTCATGGAGAAAGCCTGTGAAATAGGAGTGCACCTACAAAGTACTCTAATATTAAAATAAGGTTTATTTATTTGTTGGTGAAAGGTGTAAGGTTAAAGACTAAAAATGGGAGAGATGTCAAGAAACCTATGAACAAAATGCAAAATCAGTCCTCTGTGAAATAAACTCTTATTATTTCTTACCAGTTCCATTGGAGACAAAGTATATGACCGTCAGATGAGTTAAGGGACATGTCCATCAGATAATATGCAAATATTTATGTGATTTGCAAACAGGCTTGGAAAACCACCTTGCTCTCCAACTCATGGTAGTTCCCAGCTGCCAAGAGAGAGCTGTTTCTACCCTCCTTCCTTCTTTTTGTTTGAGGAGAGGCCTCATTTCTAGCAGCAACTCCTCAAACTGCAACTGCAAGAGTATTATTGACTCAAATAACCTCTGGCTGACAGGAGGGTTTAATAGCAGTAGCCCAGAAAATACTGTCTGATCAGTGGAGAAGACACAACTGATTATCACTTCTGAGAGAGAGACTGGAATGAAATGGAAATGGAATGTTAGGATTTAGCATGTTTCCTCCTAAATCACAGCATCAGAACATTTTAATATTCATATTTTTAATATTTTAATGTTTAAATATTTCATATTACTTTGACGTTGTAAGCAGCCCAAAGTCACTTGACAGTGAGATGGGCAACATTTAAATTTAATGAAAAAAAATAATAAAGTAAATTGGCCTGACAGTCAGGAGTGTAAACCTTGGCAGTGAAGAACTGAATAAAATTTCCTGTCTATATGTGAGGGAAGAGATAGTAAGGCAAAGGGAATATGAAGACTTAGCAGTATTCAGAGTAAAGCAGCAGTTGTGAGAGTTTCAGATAATGGGATAAGTGTGTATCTGTGATGCTACTAAATACTAAATAAGAATAGTATCTTTCAAACATACGTTTTTCAGAATTGAGAAATCGTGTCTTTGCCTGTCAAAATCCTGGTTAGCTTGTATTTGAATGTTCTATGGTTGTGCAATTTCTTTTTTATTCTGTTTCAGCCAGAAAAAATATTTTATGTCCCAACGGATGGAAGTTTGGTAGATGAGTTACAAAATAGGTAATTACTTTAATTCTTTATGTGCACATTCTTTAAAGTTAATAGAATAGAACAGAACAGAACAGAATAACAGAGTTGGAAAGGAACCTTGGAGGTCTTCTAGTCCAACCCACTGCTTAGGCAGGAAACCCAATACCATTTCAGACAAATGGCTGTCCAATCCCTTTTTAAAAACTTCCAATGTTGGAGCAGTCACAACTTCTGGAGGCAAGTTGTTCCACTGATTAATTGTTCTAACTGTCAGGAAGTTTCTTCTTAGTTCTAGGTTGCTTCTCTCTTTGATTAGTTTCCATACATTCTTCTTGTCCTGTCCTCAGGTGCTTTGGAGAATACCTTGACTCCCTCTTCTTTGTGCAACCCCTGAGATATTGGAACACTGCTATTATGTCATCCCTAGTCCTTCTTTTCATTAAACTAGACATACCCAATTCCAGCAACCGTTCTTTATATGTTTTAGCCTCCAGTCCCCTGATCATCTTTGTTGATCTTCTCTGCATTCTTTCTAGAGTCTCAACATCTTTTTTACACTGTGGTGACCAAAACTGGATGTAGTATTCCAAGTGTGGCCTTACCAAGGCATTATAAAGTGGTATTAACACTTTACGTGATCTTAATTCTATCCTTCTGTTAATGCAGCCTAGAACCATGTTGGCTTTTTTGGCAGCTGCAGCACACTGCTGGCTCATATTTAAGTGATTGTCCAAGATCCCTCTCACAGTTACTACTATTAGTAGCCAGGTATCACCTATACTGTACCTGTGCATTTGGTTTTTCTTGCCTAAATGTAGAACCTTACTTTTTTCATCATTGAATTTCATTTTGTTAGATAGCGCCCAATGTTCAAGTAAAGATCCTTTTGTATCTTAAGCCTGTCTTCTGGAGTGTTGGCTATTCCTGCCAGCTTGGTGTCATCTGCAAATCTAATGAGTTCCCCATCTATCCCCTCATCCAAATCATTGATGAAGATGATGAAGAGTACTGGGCCTAAAACAGAACCTTGGGGTATTCCACTGCATACTTCTCTCCATGTAGATTCAGTTCCATTGAGGACTACATGTTGAGTGCGGTTGATCAGCCAGTTACGAATCCATCTGGTGGTGATGCTGTCTAACCCACATTTTTCTATCTGATCTAGTGGTAGGGTTGTGGTGTACTTTATCAAATGCCTTACTGAAGTCCAAGTAAATTATATCCACAGCATTCCTTTGGTCCATTAATTTTATCACCTTGTCAAAGAATGCAATAAGATTTGTCTGGCATGATCTGTTTTTGACAAACCCATGTTGGCTTTTAGTAATGACTTTGTTTGCCTCTAGGTGTTCACTGATTTGTTGCTTGATTATCTTTTCCAGAATCTTCCCAGGTATTGAGGTCAGGCTGATAGGTCTGTAATTTCCTAGGTCCTTTTTCCCCCTTTTTTGAAGATGGGAACTACATCAACTCTTTTCCAGTCCTCTGGTAGTTCCCCGGTGCTCCAGGATCTTTGAAAGATATACAGTAGTTCAGTGGTTGTGAGATCAGATCTGCCAATTCCTTCAGAACTACATATTATTTTGATCATTTAAAAAAATGTTTTGAAACCAATTGTTACTGGGGTTGGACATCCATTATTATACTTTAGGAAAAGCGTTCATTTTTACACCTGTTCATTTCATCTGTCAATGAACTTTTTTGCAAATGTCTGTCCTGTTGATAAACTGGAGAATCCTTTTTCGCATATGTTTGAGTCCACTAGAATTAGGCAGCCAATACATTAATTTATAAATAAATAAATAAATATTTTAAAATCCATTATGCTCTTACTCTCATGCTTTCAATTCATTTGCCAATTCTGTTCATTTGACTGTAAAGCAGGTGTGTCCAACTTTGACAACTTTAAGACCTGAGGACTTCAACTCCCAGAATTCTCCAGCCAACATGAATGGCTAAAGAATTCTGGGAATTGAAGTCCACAAGTCTTAAAGTTGCCAAAGTTGGACATTCCTTCCGGGTTTTCTGGATCTGTTTATTATGTGGGAACGCTTATGCTTGCCACAGCACTAGAGGAAGATGGACAGCAATCATGCTGCTACAAAAGTTAAAAAAAAAGGTAAGGTGATCTTCCTCCCACTGCAAATTTCAAAAGGAATCCTTACTCTTTTTTAGATTGTACTTTCTATCCCCAACATTCCTCAAGCTTCATGAACAAGATGGTTAACAAAAAAGTTAAGGCACTTAAAAATAATAATTAGTCTTAAAGGCACTTCCCATAGCATTAAATCTTCTTCTCTGAAACCATGAAGGCTATGCCTCATCAAACAGAACTATTGTACATGCACATTTTATTGCATTACAGTTGCTTATCATCTTCCAATGTTGATTTTTTTTCTGCTTTCTATCTGCTAGTCAGAAAAAACTTAGAATAAGTTTAATTTCTATCCTTTTGTCTTTATTCATTGCAGCAGCAATAGTGCTATTAGAAACAAACCATATTAATAACATTTCTTTTTCAGTATTTTTCCCATTCAGTGTGTGTTTGTTCTGTAGATGTTTTAGTGCTATAATTTTTCTTAACAAAATTAACACCCTTCCCAAGTTATATATTGAAATGGACACAGAATAGTTTAAAAGTTTCATGATCGTAAAGACTCTTCACACAAAACAGTATTTGGGTTTTTTTTAGCTAGTGGGTAAATTAACAGTATAATAACTATAATGATAATAAACATCCCCTTGCATTTTTTTGAAAAACAGAATTGAAAGAATATTAAAAAATAAAATAATGGAATGGCGATCACATCTTCCAACTCGATGGCATCGACAGTGTACTAGTGTTTTAAGACAAATTCTTCCCAAGCTTGAATTTAGAAGTGGACATATAACCAAAGAAAAAGAAGAAAGTTATTTGGAGGCTTTTCAAGAGCATTACTGGGTTAGTGTTTGGTTACTGTTAGTGAAATACTCATTTGGGAACAGGGCATCTGCCAAACAACATTTCACACGGTACGAAAGGCTACCACTGGAAAAAATATTATTTGCTTTATACACATATTTTGTTAACACATAACAAGTAGAATTTGGATCCTGGTTGTCAGTGGTCAGTCATTAACAAAAATTGATTACTGACTAGGGGAATCAGACTAAAGAAACAGAAGATGTAGGCGGTAAAGCCAGATACCAAATTACTGTATGAGATAAACCAGAACAGTAAAAGGAGGATTAGACAGAGCCATAAAAATTATAATTATCCATACAAAGTCCTTAGGGAGGTGCCTTCATAACTTTTTTTTTATTGAGAAAGCCAAGGATAAGCTTCAGGCTATTCCTTAGATCAGGCATGACGTTGCGCCACATATCGCGACTTTTTCCCCATTGCCAGCAATGGGGTGGGTGCGGTTTTAGTATGATGCATCCGGCCCGCGGGCTGGCAGTTTGACATGCCTGCCTTAGAGCATTTTGTTGCCCAAAGAGTAGCAATACGAACGCTGGTTAATCACTACAAGACGTGGCACAAGTTAACACAAAAGTATGGTTCCAGTGTTTGACAGTATTCTCTATCTATCCCTGTATGAATAGTAGTGGTAGAAAGCATGGACTTACAGACTTGCAATAGATATGCTGATTTAATTCTCCTAAGCAATTTTCAAATTCACCCCCCTTCCAGGCCATTAGAAGAATAACTTAATGTAAACGGTTGTCACTTTCTGTTCTGGTTTCATTTATATGAAAGAGGAACACTTAGGTGGAAATTTGCCTATGCTGCTTGTAATTGATAAAAGAGTCATGAAGAGATAATTTGTTCCTCTCTAAATAGTTTTGTAAAAAGCTGCTTTCTTTTCAACTATGTCTTTGTTATTTAATATTATTTCAGGTGATACCAGTTGTCTCAAGTTCAGCTGCTTGAAAACAACTGTTACTTTCCACAGTCTTTAAATCATAAGAGGTTGATATGGCAGCATCCTTATTAAGCTATCCCACTATCTTCCAGATACTCCCAGTAACATAAGGGAAATCAATTATCATTCCTTTTTTCAAATAGTATATAAAAAAAAATCTGTTTCTTGAATCACTCATAAAGGAAGACGTTTCCCCAAAAGAGGAAACAACATAATTTAGCATTAATAACTAGATTCCTCTTACTCCATAGGAAGTAGGATCCCTTTTGATTCTATTGACTTCATAATCACAAGTTCTTGAGTCTAATGAACTGATACCTCCTTCACCCGACTAGTTAACAAAAGTTAACACAATTGTGTTTCTGAGATAGGTTATAGAACAATTAGCCAGTGACTTATCCAAACGCTTTCTTTAGGAGTCATCCCATTGCCTTGTTAGGAGATTGATATTGTTGCCAGCCTCCTATTGCATCCAACTACCCTATTGGGGGAGACAGGTGCTATGATGATTAGTCTCACAGGCGTTCTTGCTTCATGGATATAAAATTTTATTACTCCTTGCAAAGAAGTATTACACTGCGAAATAACATTACACATATCAGTATCATAGCTTATACCATTTTTTCCATGAGGCTCAACTACATTAAATATTCTACTGTCATATATCTGCTGTGACAGTAAGCAGTCTCTGCCATGATACCAAGAATTTCAGATTTGTCTGCAATTTCAGAGTGTGAGGTGGTACAATAAATGCTATTATTTACTTCTACTAGCAATGTGTTCATTTGTTTCAATAGTGTTGGTTCCAACACCACTAATGTCAGATTGGTCATGCAATAAGAGTTCAATGCTCTTCACTGTATCTTCTTTGGCATTCTCTAGCCTTATCTACCCTGCATTCTGAAGTCTCCAAACTTCTGAAGAAGCATGTAATTAAACCTAATCTGTTCTACATGAATTCTGAGTATTTCCTTGTGAGAAGACAAAGGATTGAGACCAATACTGCATTTTAACGCATTAGTGTTAAGGATTTTAAATGAAAGAATTTTCCTTATGTGTTACTCACCATCAATGCTTCCTTGATGGTGAGTAACAGTAGAGAGCTATTTAGACCAGTCATTCCAGCATGGATGAGTTTAGTCTTTCCCTATGCTTATCAATCATACCAGCTATCTAAAATCATACCAGCTATCTAAAACCATTTGCAATGTTAAAAATTGTGAGTTCCCTCAATTGTTCTGTTCAGCACAAAGTACTACTTGCAAACAGTTGTCTCAAATGTGCTTTTTCAAAAGACTACTGGACTGTTTTTCCTTGAGGAAGAAGAAAACATTTTGCTTCTCCTCCAAGAAACTTCATCACTTCTGATGGTGGGTGGACCATCAGAACTGATGAAGCTTTTTGGATGAGAAGTGAAGTGTTTTATTTTCCTTCCTCAAGGAAAAAAAGCCCAGTTGCCTTTTGAAAAGCACCTTTGAGACAACAATGATCTGGATGACTGAGAATCTCCACAGATATTTGCAAATAGCTTCTGAGTATTTTTTTTTATACATCGAACAAATAATAGCAAGTCCCACATATCTTATTGTCTAGTTCTAGAATTAGTGCATGCATCCATCATCTCTAAATGCCTATGGGCATCTGTTTATCAGGCACAGATGAGGTAATTGCTCTCAGCAATTCAATCAGGAATGGTAAACCCCATAGTTGCTCATAATCTTCACCAAATGGAGTAAGACTATCAACCTATTTGATGCAAAAATGTAAATGTTGCAATTTAAACTGAATTTGGGAAACCTAAGAGGATCTACAGTATTTCTTCTACTCTGGATCACTTGCTTCTCAGTAATTTTCTGCTCACCAAGTGATACTTGCCCTCAATATTTTTTCATGCACTCTAATCATCCCATGGTTCTTGGGCATTGTTTGGGTTTCCAACTCTTTTATCAGGAAACATTCTTCATCCTATCCTATCATCATCTTCTATTTCATTGACTGATTCCCGCCTTTGGAATCAGGAATTAAAAGATATTCTGAAACTAACAGAAAATCAATCAACTTGCAATCCTGCAAAGCCAAACAGTCTACTTACTCCAAATTTATTTCCAATTGGGGTTGCATTTGATTATTTGAACCATTCAAACAATCTTTTGTGTGGGGTAATATTCTTTTTTTATATACTGTTCTTTACAACTTTTGAACAAGACAGACAAATTAACAGGTTTTAAACGTGATATACAAGTTAAACACTCATGTCATTTCCTGGTACCAAAGAAAGACAGTGAATAATGTCCTGTCCCCAGTCTCTAGGACTTAGGTGACTTTATAGCTTCCTGTAATTTTTGGACCAGTCTGCTATATCTTTAATCCTTTTCTAATTCTTACATGATTTATAGCCAAAGTTCATTAAGACCTATCAGATCTCATTCTTATAACCCTCTGCTATCCAAGACAAATATGGTTCCCAGCTTCTACAGCTTACTTTCAAGCATTATTGGAGAATTCTGACTTTACCAGGCCTCATCACAAAGAGACAAGATGTTCTTCACCAGTTCTTTGGTTTCTTTCAAAATATATAGTTAAAAAGGACCCCAAACAGCTGGTGACAGGTGTGGTAGAAGGTTCTGTGAGCCCTCTTTTTTTGCTCTTCACCCTGCATTTATCAAGTGTTCTTTGAGCTTTTTAACAGCTGGCAGGCATTTCAAGCAGTTGGGGAGGATGACTCTCTCAAAAGCTCCATGTCTCTGATTCTACAAAGCAGCTGATCTCTAAGATTAGAGCCTCTTTCTTCCCTTCACCTGATCTTTCACACTGCCCATGTGATTGATCTACAGCCTGGAAGAGGTAGAAAGTGAAATGGGCTTGAAAGGTTATCAGAAACATTTGCAAAATACTACAAAAGCTGTATTAGAATACTTACTGAAAAAGTGTCCAAATTCAAAAAGTGTCCTATATTAGCTGTTATTTTGAATCTGAAACAAATGTTTACTGGCTTGGCTGTATTTCAAATTATATTTTATTGCAACAAGATTATTTTTAAACTCAATATATTGAAAATGGTAATCTGTAATTTAAAAATTATATCTAGAATTATAGTTTTATTTTTATATGTCATCTTGTTTGTACTATTTGGATTTAACAGTACTGTTATAAGCAGATGTATAATATTTAGATTTGATGCTATGTTTATTTTAAACATGTATTTATTTTTTTCTGTAGGTTACAGGATTTCCTTTACAGATGCCATACCTAGATATCCAGTCAGTAACTGAGGCTGTTTATCAGACAGGAATTCATTCTTCAGAAATTCCCTATATAGAATTTGCTCTTGCTGTGTATATTCATCCCTATCCAAATAAGATTTTATCTGTTTGGATCTACTTAGTATCTTTGGTTTGTCATCAGTAAGTAGCAATAACTGACAAACCTCTTCAGGAATTACTCAGTGCATCTGTGAAATTGGTATTTGTGGTTTCTGAATTGTTGTTGTAGATAAGAAACTAGTCAAAAACATTGTTTTAAAAAACCCTATTTGCTATTTGATTCTTTCATTCTTCTAAAGTAATAGACTTATTTTATTTGTTTCCATGAATAAAGAAAAATCTAATAAAATTTATTTCGAGTTTAAACATCTAAAAGTTTTCTGTGTCCTTTCGTAAATTCACAACTACATGGAAACATGGAGATCCCGATGATCCAAACCCTGGTGACCATTCATAAGGCATTAAAAATTGGCTTATGGCAATGAGCTCATATAGAATAGAATAACAGAGTTGGAAGGGACATTGGAGATCTTCTAGTCCAGCCCCCTGCTCAGGCAGAAGACCCTAGGGCCCATACCAGGGGTAGGCAATATATAGAAGATTATTTATGTGATGCCACAGATGTGGTGTTTTTCAGTTTTATAGTTTGTATATTATTGTTTTTAACTTGTTCTTTGTTGCTGAGAATTGTATAACGAGTGGGCAGCCAGTTTAAATAAATGAATGAAAGTTTGTGAAGACATTTGTACTCTCCTATAATGAAATGGGTTATGAGTCTGTTCGGACCCAGAAAATCATCCTAGAATATAGATGAACTATTTGGGGAATAATTCACAAGAAATTTCCCATTACTGTATTCCAGGATAATTTTTTTACTTCCCATTCTACAGCCTTGAATTTTCATATGGCTTGTCACCCAACTATTGATCAGACCCAACTCTGCTTAATTTCTGGATCCAAACAAACTCAGAACCATTTTATTATAGGAGAGTACAAGTTCTTCACAAACTTTCATTCATTTATTTAAACTGGCTGCCCACTTGTTATACAATTCTGGGCAACAAAGAACAAGTTAAAAACAATAACACAAAAACTATAAAACTGTAAAAACACATTTGTGGCATCACACATATCCATATAAATAATCTCTTATATATATATATGGGCTCAGCTACCCACAGGGGCTATTGCTTGGAGTAAAAGCCAATTTTTCAATGCCTTATGAATGGTCACCAGGCTTTGAATCATCAGGATCTTGGCTATGGAAATATGATGTAACCTAAACTTTATCTTTGTAAGAATAAAATGAAATGGCTAAAGGGTACATCATGAATGTCCCAACATCTGACTTTTGCTTTTGTTTGTGGCTCTTTAATCACCATTTGAGGCTTACCATGGCATTTGGACACTAAATGCCAATTTTAGATTTCTGAAAACCAACAATTTTTAATCAATGACAAAATTTATTTACAAGTCCCAGTTTCAGGAATGTGATTTTAGGTTTGATTGACACAGTAAGTCATAAAGTTTGATTACAGAGGCATACTACGTTGGCTTTGGGAACACAATATAGCTTTGTAAAATGCTCGATAACAGGTTTTTCAGCTTAAGCTTTATAATATTAAGATAGATACAGCGTACAAAAGGAATATCACATGTAGTGATCCATAAAGTGTGCATAATACAGACAACAGATAGTGTATGTCAGGGTGGTCTTATATTAGTGGAGATCAGAATGCAAATGGAAGGAGTTGGTATCTGGCTGTATTTCATTAAATATTTCTCCTAGCATTGTATTGTACGTAATCAAACAGTAATTTCAGCACCCATAATCTTATTCAAATGCAATGCTAAGCAGGTTTTATATTTGATAAATAACAAATAAAAAATTATAAATGATCACTAAGTTCATGAGCGTTCCTTTTCCTTATTTATTTTTAATCTATTTATTAAATTTATTTGCTGCTCATCTCATATTGAAATGAGTCTGTTTAAATTTAAAGTAAAGTTACTGGATACATTCACATCATGTGCAAACTGTGGGTAATCTTAGCTTAGATTTATAATGCAATTTGGTTCATTTTCTTAAATTATAGTATTGTTATAGTTGAGGCCCAAGATACAACATTAAATCCTTTCAACTAAAAATGGAAACAAAGTTTTTGAACACCTCCTCTGAGTAGCACTAAGGAAGAAAAAGCTCAGAATTTATACACAATATATCCAAACTAGATAATTATTAACATGAATGTTGAAGATTGCTGATACAAGAGTCACTTGCTTGAGATAAGTGATTTAAAAATTGAATAAACAAAGACATTTCTCTGTGGATGTCTGCATTTATGTTTTTATAATACTGCAGTGTTATATTTAATGTCAAGGTATTTTGAAATATAAAAGTCAACTGATCATTGTTCCGTAGAAAAAATGCAGCTAACAATCACTTTCAAGACGATTCAATAAACTACATTCTGAATCCTTCCAAAAAAAGTTTATAAATGATATAAAACTGAGAAGTCACTATAATTTTTGCATCAACCAACAGTATTTTGATTATGGTTTCTTAAGAATTTCAAGAATGCTTCATGATACTGTTTGAACCGCCCATTCAAAGCATGATTTATTTCTTAGTGTTAATGTGTCAGGACTGATTTTTGTTATATAATCAAGAATTTGTCTGTCTGACAACAATCCAGAAAATTATCTTAGATCTAATATTGCACATATGCCTGGCCACTGCAGAAAAAGTGTCTTTTTTTTGTTTGTAAAGGGCATCTTGGCACTGTTAATACGCATAATTGTGAGCTAAAGAGAGGCTAAAATTATGACCAGCTACTCGTACTACCCAATGGTATTACACGTTATGATTTCAAATTCAGTTCCAAAAAGATTGCTTTGAAGTTCATGGAAATATGAATATAATACCTGCCTGCATCTCCTTAACGCAGCTATGCAATTCCAGGAGCCAGCTATTTTAAAAAATGGCACACAGACCACTGTGCACTAGGTTGTGCTATCTTTTAAGATGGGTATTATTAGTGGTTGACAATTAGGAGGGAATGTCATATAAACCATAGCAAATAAATTTCTGAAACCATTACACAAATACCTTGAGAATAGGACCTCTGTGACTGGAGGTAGTTTTAGTATTGAGTTTTCATACATATATGGTTGCTGGCAGTGCTTTTTTTGTTAAAAAAAAAAAGGTGGCTGAACTAACACAAGTCATACTACTCATCTTGCCTACCCTACAAAGTTCCATCCAAAAAAGGTGCTGGAACTCCGTTCTGGGCGTTCTATGATAAAAAACGCCCTGGTTGCTGGGATTCACACAATTCATAAACAGAAAGAAAAACAGTGTAACAAACTCAGATGTGGCCATCTAGCAGCATGTCGAAGCAAGAAGTTCAGTTCACATAAGTGGAACATTTAATATAGGACTAGAAGGTGCCTTGGGTGTCTTCTAGTCAATCCACTGCCAAATTTAGATATTTTAAAAATACCATTTATGTAGTTTTTAAACCAGTACTCCTAAATGGAGGCCACCAAGTAGGGTGCATTAACTGTAAAATGTTAGCAGCATACTCCTTTGATTGGATGGCCAATAATAGTTGGTGGTTAAAATATCTTCCTTGCATCTAGGTTTTTAACCCCAAATGATCCAATGCCAACATTACTAAATATACTTCTCAGAGCTATGCAAATCCTTTTAAAGTGGTGCCTTGAAAATTGCTGGAGCAAAGATGAAGCACATAATTTTCATACTTGAATGATTTCTTTTCAGATATGTACAATTCTGTGCTTGCATTTATCTATAGCAGGTTTAACTTAGAATTAAATTAAATTCTAAGGTAGAATGCACCAACTAAGGAACTGTTTTTTCAAGATGAGGCATCATACTGTTTTCTGTTCTGTAATGTTATCTGTGCACAACCAGATATGACTTTGCTCAAAAAAAAAAAAAGGATGGGTTTTCTCTGACTTCTTGCATGTAATTGTGCAAATAGTATTGCCCGATATATTAAAATAAACATTTTTCCATATTCTAGCAGAATGTATATATGGATTCAGTATTATTCACAGTTGTAATAATTTTCCATACTTTCTCTCTGTTGTCTTTTCTAGACAAGGTTAGTGATGAAGTACAAGACTTCATACTTTTAATAAATAAACACTTTTCCTGTTTTTTTCATGTCTGTTGTATTATTATAGTCGAAAACAAACCTGGAATGCATTGCAATATCACTATCATTATGAATGCAACTTTATTCAAAGCACACACACAAGTTACACAAAACTAGCTTTATTTTTAAAAGAGTGCATGGCACTCATTTTTTTTTTAATGTGTAGTTCTTTCTTGACGACACACATTTTAATTCCTGCAGTAGGAATTTCAGCAGTGTGTCGATTCAGTGGAGGTTGACCAAATACGTATAAGAAAATAGGAAATGTTGCACAGTGCATATTCTATTGCCAATATTTATCTATAACAACAAACTCAAAAGGCTAAATAATAAATTAAAAAAGTAATGAGCCACAAATCTAGGAACCTGTAGAGGATCCATTTTTAGAAAGAAGTCTAATTACTTAAATACCTTAAATAAGATCATTTGTTTTAGGTGAGTTTTGCTGGTTTGACTAGATAAATTACCTCTCCCACCACAATTCCAGTGTTAATTAACTAATGTTTTGATGTAAACGCTGAAAGATAATTTTCAGATGTATTAGATGTCTAATCTGCAGTCTCATTTATGGAGGACTGACACTGAAGGACACATAAGAATTTTAGGAACAATGTACTGTTATTTCAAGTCATGGACCTCCACAAAATTGTACATTCAACATATTATTGAGGTAGTTAAAAAAGAGTTGTATGAGCAGTACTGCAATTTGAAATTAGTATCATTCCTTTTCTAATGTATTTTGCAATCCTTCATCCCCACATAAAATGAAATCATGAGAAATGACATGATGTAAGAAGATAATCTCAGACATTCAATTCTGTTACCTAATCAATTTTTCCCTGCTCAGACATGCAAACACAGTAATAAAATATGCTTAGGGAAGAAGTAGTATTCCCTAGTATATGTTTTCAGAAAGCTTTACTATACTTCTTTCCCTCAAAATTCCCCATTTTTATAAGGAGACACACACACAAAACACATTATGGCATAAAATAATTACCACTACGGAGGATAGCTTCTCCTCCAAATTAAAGAATATTTTCTCATAGCATGGTCAGCTCATAGAGAGCCATTTTAAGGCCATTTCCCTTTAAATGAGAAGTATTTAGGATGATCTGTTTTCCACTAGGAAAGGCGTGTATTATTAATGTCTATCTTCAGGTTCTCCATTCATTTATCACCTCCATTCTCAGTCATCTCTAAAAATTTGGATCACATACCACTGGATACAAATATAGCAAATTATTCACTCCTTAATCTTGAATGCTAACAAGAAGATTCTCAAAATTCTTTACTGCCTATTTACTCAAATAATTCTGGTTTGGATAAGGTTAGAATCTAAGAACTTAAAGAGACCTCTGATGGTCATGTGTAGTACCCTTATCGTGACTGCTTAGCTCACATTATAAAAATATCTGAATTGCAGCTGATGTGGCCAAAGAAATAGAAATATAGAAATACAGTTGTGCTGTAAGAGTCTGAGAACTTCCATTTCTCATTCTGCTCTCTGGCCATCATAAATAAGGCTTTATTTCTTGTAAGCATTTCAATTGTACCTTGAAGCCAGAAATCAATACAACGAAAAAAGAAAAACAAAACTTTTTGGACACAAATAGCTGGTTGAATAAAGTAGAGCAAATTGCAAACAATACTCCATCGTTTATGGTATAGTACTGGCTTCATTTAAATACAACATGTCTATTTTTCCCTGTCTCATTGCAAAGCACATTTAGGTGAAGGGAGTACTTGGATGAGCATCTCAACTCCCTTTGGTATTTACTACTACAATTACCCTGAGGAACAGAACCCGAGGTAACCATTTAAATGATATCTATCCTGTTATCACAGTAACTTTTGATTATTCCCTGAGTTGGTATGATAATTTATCTCTACAAAGCTTCAGTGAAGAATATTTGAAGTGGAAGATTGGAGAACATTAATCCAAGGCCACTGAAATACAAGTTCTCATCCATGGGCATGTCAAAGAACTGAGGTGCTCATTAGGTGAAGAGGGCCTCTTCTCCCACTTGCCTTTCCATCTTCTGGAAAGCAATGGCACTTAGTGGACTTTCATGGTTCAGTATCTTATTCAATACTGCACGGAGCTAAGTAGAAGCAGCAGTGTCGCCAACATCACGTGTAACCTTTCATCTTTTCAGGAAGACAAAACCTGCAGTCAGGACAGGTATCTCTCAACACGCTTTTAAGGATATGTTTTAAGTTCAGCATGTAGAACTACAGTGTGGCAGAAATATTTTTTTCCATCTTTCTCCATTATTCTGCAAGTTCTTGTACTTGCAGTTTCTGCAACTGAGCTACCTTTGAGAGGAAAAAATGGGTGTTCTCTTTCAGCCATTTCCCAGGTTTCAGAAGGACCCAAAATTGCCCTCTATTATTTATTTAACACTGGTCACACAGAGAGTTCTGCTGTAGTCGTCACCTCTCAAAGCATGGAGTAATACAAGGGTAGTGTCCAGCAATCTGATAGGTTCGATTATAGGAGACATTTAAACATGGCTTCACCTCTATAGGGACTGCTAGTGACATTCCAGAAGTCTGTATATGACTTTGAGCCTGAACACCACCTTGTAAACCAGCTGGGCAAGTCTGCATCGGGTAGGTTGAGGTATGACTGCTGCTTGACATAATCGGCTCACAGTTTTGTTGCGCTGCTGTTTGAAGATACGGTAGAGGAGTCTGATGAGCTTGAATATAATGGGATATGTGCTGCTGTGTGGGTTGACCGGTTGTTTGAAATAAAGTGTTATGGGTTGCTTGAGAGCTATGTTGTCCTTTTTGCTTGTTGGCTTCTTTTACGTCATTATCATGGGCCCTAGAATATTAAAGTTAAAAGGATTATTTTCTGTTTGACTACATTGGCTGAAATCTACAGTTCATCCAAGCCCATGTACAAGGAGAGGATTATTTTTTTCATACATGCTTGATGGGAATGGGCCAATAGTTCTTCTTGATTCAATGTAAGCACTTCTGCTACAAGAAATAAAACCTTATTTCCTATTTATTTATTTCAAGAAATAAAACCTTTATAAAACCTTAGTAAGACCACACCTGGAATACTGCATCCAGTTTTGGTCACCATGTTACAAAAAAGTTGTTGAGACTTTGGAAAAAGTGCAGGGAAAAACAACTAAGATGATTAAAGGCCTGGAGACTAAAACATATGAAGAACGGTTGCAGAACTAGTCTACGGAAAAGGAGGATTAGGGGGGACAAAATAGCAGTATTCCAGTATTTGAGTGACTGCCATAAAGAAAAGAGGGGGTCAGCTTATTTTCCAAAGCACCGTAAGACAAGACTAAAAACAATGGATGAAAACTGATTGAGGAGAGAAGCAATCTGGAATTAAGGAGAAACTTACTAACAATGAGAACAATTAAACAGTGGAACAGCTTGCATTCAGAAATTGTGGGTGTTCCATCACTGGAGGCGTTTAAGAAGAGGCTGAACAACCATTTGTCTGAAATGGTATAGAGTCTCCTGCTTGAGCAGGGCATTGGACTAGAAGACCTCCAAAGTTTATTCTATTCTATTCTATTCTATTCTATTCTATTCTATTCTATTCTATTCTATTCCATTCCATTCCATTCCATTCCATTCCATTCCATTCCACTCCACTCCACTCCACTCCACTCCACTCCACTCCACTCCACTCCACTCCATTCTTAGAAAAAACATACACACCACTATTTGCTGGTTGGGGTATTGTGGGAGTTGAAATTCAGACATCTTAAAATGGTTATGGTGGGAAAACACTGAAACCAGGAAAAGAAATAACACAACCCCAAAGGCAAAAGAAGGAAGGATTGGTTAGATCCTACAAATCTGTTAAACCTATTAGGTAAACAGTTATTCCTAAGTAAGAGCTGATCTTCAAAGGCTTCAATTCTTGGCAGTTATCAGCTCAGGCAGGCATCTGAACCTCCTGCCCACTCCTTTCTTTTCAACAGCACCTTTTATTTTCATCCCTATACGTAAGAGATAATTGTGATATGTTAAAAGAAGCAATAACTTTCTTATGGGTAAATATGCAAGAATTTGATTTTATTTGGGATTAAAGCAGCAGTGTCTGCAGGGTATGGTTTTTTGTTTTTTTAAAAAAAAGCTAAAATGGCAGACCCAACACTCTGATTGTAGCTCTGCCAATTTTTTATGGACCATTGTCCAGTTGGGCCTGCTCTCTTGATCTCCTTTTGCATATCTGCAGAAATCCCTGAACAAAAGAGAGGGGGAAATTAGAGAAATGTGTCGTAACTGGCAGATGTGGGCATTAAGAATGCATTCAAGACTGAAATGCAACAGTGTTGGGAGCTTGTCATCACCCTCAGCTTTCCAACTTGGAAACTCAATAGCAATTTCTGCACCTAAAACCTTACTCTCGCAGCCCTCAGATTGCACTTCATTAAAGTAACTACAGGTAGTCCTCAACTTACAACTACAACTGAGCCCAAAATTTCCATGGCCAAGCAAGATAATTATGTCCCATTTCATGTCTTCCTTGCCACAGTTAAGTGAATCACTGCAGTTGTTAAATTAGTAACACAGGTGTTAAGTGAATCTGGCTTCCCCATTGGCTTTGCTTCTCAGGAGGTCACAAAAGGGGACCACGTGACCCCAGGACACTGCAACCGTCATAACTACATGCCAGTTGCCAACCATCCTAATTTAGATCATGTGACCATGGGGATGCTGCAACGGTTGTTAAGTGTTAAAAAATGGGCATAAGTCCCTTTTTTTTCAGTGCCGTTTTCACTTCGAATGGTAACTAAACAAATGGTTGTAAACCAAGGACTACTTGTACTGCCCTATTAAGTGAGAAAAACCATTCCAAACACTTACACCAATAGTCGTTCAATACAAGGCAATAGAAAATCAAAGGAATATGCTGTCAGACGATGTAGTCGCACTGGCCATGTTGGAGAAAGACGCAAGATAATCCTGGAGGAAGCCACACATGCAGCAGCCACTAACGAAGGGGCATAATTTAAAAATGCATGATCTGGAGAGAGACAAGAGGATTAGGGTTACATCACACATAGCCACACACAAACCCGGCAGCTAAGTAACCACTGGGAGGAGTTTGAACAAAGCCATTTAAAAAAAAAAAGTACCTTGCAGGGATACTTCCAGAAAGTAGTCGGCATATTTGGCCATGTACAATTTGGTCTTTTCCAAGCAAACCATCGGCCACCCGTCATGGAGGTCCGATTCGTGAACGGCGATCGAGAGATAGTAATCTATGAAGTGAGCAGCTGTGGGCAGGCAGAGGTTCCACTGGAAAGTTTCTAGCAAGAGCAGTTCCATGTGCAGTAAATTCTGCTTAGTTAGGACCAGGCTCATGTTACTCATGCACCCCAAGCTGTTCAGCTGTTCAAGCTTAGGCACACTGTCTTCCTTTTCTTCAAATTTACCTGACGGACATGAAAGGGGGAAAACATCATTAGAATGCAATTAAACTATTTTAAAAAAATAATAATTTCTGCATGCTGCGATTTGTCTTTCTAACAAGACTCAGTTACTATAGATAGCCCTCAACTCACAACTGTTTGTTTAGCGACTGCTGCAAAATTACAATGGCCCTGAAAAAAATGATTTATGGCTGCTCCTTGTACTAAACCACCACTGCGGCATCCCTACAATCAGAGGATTGAAATTTGGGCCCCTGGCGTGTATTTACAACCGTTGCTGCGTCTCAGGGTCACGTGATTGCCATTTACGACCTTTCCCAGCCAGCTTTAAACAAGCCAAGTTAATGGGAAAAGGGAGATCTGCTTAACAAAAAAACGGTCATAAAATTGGGCATGACTGACTTGACAACCCTTTGCTTAGCACTGGAAATTCTGGTCCCAGTTGTGTGGTAGGAAGTCAACAACTACCTGGAATTAATTGTTTAAAGCAGGGGTCTGCAACCTTGACAACTTTTAGACTTGTGGACTTCAGCTCCCAGAATTCCTCAGCCAGCATAGCTTTAAAAGACATTGCTTTTGGTAAAAAGTACACTATTGCACAGCTGGTAGTACAGCTGGGTTCATTTCTCTCTGTTACTTTCTTATCATCTCTAATGACAGATCTATGAAGCCAGATTGGCAGCCACATTTCAAATCATTTTCTCCATTCAAGGTTTGGCAGCAGGAAACTTTAAATGACTGGATTCTGTTTGTCAGAGCTGCTCATTACGTGGGAAGCAATCCCCCCCTTTTTTTTTACTTAGGCTAAATGATACATTGCAAAAAAAATCTTTTGATCTCCATATTTTCAAGCCTAAAACAACAGATTTTTCAGATGTATTCTGTTATTTGGGACAAGTGTGACTTTTTGAGAACTTCAACTGTTTACAAGGGCCACTGGACTTATTGTGAAATCAATCAGCCAAGTGTTTGGCACAGGCAGTTTGGCTTACAGGTGGTGATTCAAAAACAGATGCAGAATGTTAAGAACAACACTGGAACGGTGCTAATTAACCGGATCCACCTATCAAGCCAAGACATGGCTTAATTAATCTTGGTTTGTTGACTAACCACAATTGGCTGAGTTCATACATAAAGCTAAGCTGCAGGGCATGATCTGTAAAGCACAATAAACTGAGTTAAGTCAAAACAAAGCAAAGTACAAACCTGTTAAAGCAGATGCAATTTCCATCACTTTCCAGGTCGATCCACTTTTCTGTGATATCTAGGACCACATTCCAAAAGTGGCCAATGGCTGAGCCCATTTTTTTGAGGGGGGACAGCCAGGAGTTTTAAGAGCTAAAATGGGCACCTGAACTTTATTAGTCCTTAAACCTCTGGGACTCAAAAATACATAGTGCCCTTTATTTTTAACGCCAATGATTTTGAGGGCACAAAAGAGATGGTGGAATGTAACTCATGAGATGCATGTTTTGCGCCCTTAGCTTAGCTTTTTTTTTGTTTTTTTAACATTCTCTCCAATCCTTCAATATCCTGCACCTTTCGGTGAATTTGAGAAACGAACCCTTTAAACTGATCAAATCAGGGATATAATAGCCGTTACAAAATATCATAAGGTTGTTGTAACGGATCAGAAGAATAGAAAATACCATTCATGTGTGAAAGAAGTTCCGAGTTCGGGCAGCATCACATTTTGTTTTCAAAAGAACAAATTAAAGTTTGTTGTAACACAGGCTGTGCAAATTTTGCCCCTAAAATTATAGAATCCATTTCTTTTTCAGGAAACCACTGCAGCTTAGCAAATAAAAAAGTTGGGTTTCTGCAATCCATGATGGGTTTCAGGATGGCTGGTTTAATACTGAATTCCCAACCGTTTTTGGAATTCAACTGTTTGATTTCTACTCTGGGTAAGCAATTTCTATCTGTTGAGCTCTTGCTTTGAACTTACTTGCTAAAAGCAAGCAGGAAAGAGCAACCATGTGCAGCTGTTGAATGGAGATGTCATAACGGTCCATAAAGAGGTCCAACAGGTAAACAGCAAGATGCCGGGCAGCAGGACAGAGTCGGAATCGGTTGCTCACAATGGCAATCAAGTCTGCAAAATACCTTCTCAGATTTAACTGGGGAGACTGGCCTTTATAACACGGTAGCTTCAGCTCCTAAGCAGAGAATAACAGTGTTTAAAACAGCCACTGCTGTATAGAAACTTGCACTGAGAATAATTACATCCAAATTACATCCCTTTCGTTCATTCAATTTGCATAGTTGCCCATCGTACATAAGTGACACTAGGGTGGCTCACATTCATTAAAAACTTGAAAAGAAGCAGCACAATACAAAAACAGAGAAACAAAACATATAAAACCATGTCAAAACCCATACAATATATTGAACAAGTATACTATAAAAATGTTCACAGCACTCAGCATAACCAATGAACAGGCTTAACGTATTTAAGATCATTTTGGAATTCAGGTTCCCTAGGATCATTGTTTAATCTCCCTCATATTTTAAAAAGAACACAAAGAGTTGTAGAGTTCACATTCCCAGAATTTGCACTGCAGTTCCTCCTTTAATCTTATGAACAACAGGTGCATCACAGATATTAAATTAACACAACACTTGAAAAAAATTTCAGGGAGATTAAGAATTTTAGCACTCATCTTCGGACATTGTTATTGTTGCTCAAGGTTGAGTTTCCCTTCACTATTGCTATTATCACACAGGCAATAACTGAAATGGTTGTTGTCAGCACCAACACTTCCATCTTGGGGGAGAGAAGGGGATGGAGACTACTAAGTACAGAGTAATCATAGCTACATATCTCCGTTCCCCAGCGAGCTACAGCAAAATGTTGAAATGTAAAACTGCATTGAATCATTTTATATGACCCAAACCAAGACATTCTAACCCAAGGGGAAAACTGGCCAAGGGTGTGGGATGGGGATGGGGAAACTTCCTTGAATAAAGCATACGACTAAATGGAAGAAGGCAATGTTAGGCATTTACTAAACTTGAAATATTGTCTGAGCAATAAATTGCCAGTAGTTGTACTGAGAATAAGAGAGGCAATCTTGACAGTTTTGCTTTTTGGTATTTTATGTTTTTCTGAAATCTAATAAGGTTTTGGAGGTTCCAGTCCCTAAGGGGAAAAAATTGCAAAAAAAATATTATCCTGGGAATGAGGACTAAAACATTCTCTGAGTTCCAAGAAGCAAGATAATATTCAAAGTGAGCCAAACAAACAACTCTGATTAACTGGGATACAAGAAGGAAGGGAGTTAAAGGGCAATCAGTTTTGCAAGATGTCATTATTATAACCTATTTCAATAAACTATAGTTTCAGTTTTGCTGTGGAGTTGATATTCTGGTTTGATCTACCTAGTGGGCCTGACAATCATCATTTGTCTTTGAGATCTCTTATTTGCTGTATAAATTTGTTTTTGCTTGAGCTTGGATGATACAAACCCACTGCTAATAATCTATTTTAATTTATGATAGAACAAAATTCTGACGGTGAATATACTGACAAACAGATTTTCCATCTTTTTTAAAAAAATATTCTCAAAAGAATACCAGCAAATTCTTTAAAGTATCTCCCTGTGCCTGGCTATTAATCCAAGTGGGGAAGACAGGAATAATATTGATACCTGCCCTTCCACTCCTGAAAGCCAATTAGAGCTAACAGGAAACAAAAGACTGCTATAACAACTTTAAGATGTGTGGTCTTCAACTCCCAGAATTCCCCAGCCTGCCATTGCACCAGGTCATACTATTACAACGATCAGATCCACAAAGAATGCTAACAAGAAATCTATTTAAAAATTACAATAGCTGAGCTCACCATCTCACTAACTCAATATCAAAGAAATCATACTGCAGCTTAATGTAACATATCAATACCTGGAAAAATATTATCAGGCCATAGTATTATTATGGGTAAGGGATTGGATATTATTAAAGAATAGAAGACTATTATGTTTGGAAGGTCATGATCTACAAATAGGTTGGCACGCTGTGCTGTGGGATCATAAATATAAGACACATAAATATTTCTGAAGGCACTATATTAGACAAGCTTTAATTGATGTATGGGTTAAAATCTAGCAATGTAACACATCAATATTAGTAAAATTAATCATAGTGAACATTGCCTGATTTCTCCTTCATCACCAATACAAACGACCTTAAAGTTCAGTTTTATTCTTTACTGTGTTATTTGGGTATAAGACAACGTACGTCTTCTATTAATAGTTCCAGAACATAAGCAATTTATTAGAGATAGAAAAGGGTAGATTGTTTTAGTCTATTCTACGCTGTTAGGGCCTTTCGGCTATTATATTTATTCATACTATTTCTCTGCAATGGAAAAAGTCACATACTTAAGTTCCACTTTACAGTTGGTAAAACTGGATGGAGCAGTTTAACATGAATCATAGTAGCAGTAATTGAAACAGTGAACCTTCTCTGAATGTTGCTTGACTTGAAGGCAATTCATACTTTAGAGGCATCTACATCTGTTAGACTGGAAGTATATTGGAAATACCAATAACCAATGCCACCAGGCATCACATGTCAGTGGATCATTAATCTAGAAAAACCCAAGATGGACACTGGGTATTGCTACAATCAATCGCAATAAGCCAAAGGAAGGTTCTGGGTACTTCTGTATATTTAGCTGCTGAGGTAATCTATAAGATATTATTGAGCTATTTTGTCTCTTTTATTTTTGTTGTTCTTCTATGAAGACAGAAAAAATGCTGAACAAACAAGGTAGAGTTGCAAAAGGAGGATTACATTGTGGGTTCCCTTGGTGCTTTCTGAGTTTGTTTTTTTGCAGACATTTCTTTACCAAACTAGGTAACATCATCAATGTATCAAGGACCCCACAGTTCAACCCTGAGCTACAAATATTCTCTTCTAACATTTCCTGGTACAATTCATAAAAGAAGCTTAATGAAAACCTCTTGTAACTCCACTTCATTGCAAATCACCTGATATGCACTTGTGGCCATCAAGCTAAAAGCATTCGTGGCTCAGGCAACATTCATTTGAAAAACAAGCCCGGCTTTTGGATTTGTTAGTCATCCTTGTACCAAAACCCATCCATTGTAGTTTGCAAATTATATGGCTTAATATTTTATATGAACCTCAGGAACAGCCAGAGTTTATTCAATCAACTGAAATAAGTAACTGCTCTGCTGACTGATTCAAAATGGTCAACCAGTGTCATGGATCCAAAGAAAAAAAATAACATGAGATAAGAAAATAAACAAAAGATAATTCAATAAATAAAGAAATCAGAACTTTCTATCTGATCAAATAATTCTATCAATTTAACAAAGAACAATATACAATGGTGGAACTAAATTTCTCAGGTCAGAGTTGTACATTAAGTTACTTAGAGGCATCTGACTGAGGTATGGCGAGATCAACCAAACCTTCCAATTGATGGGAAAGCAGAAAAGTAAATCTTATGAACAGGTCAAACAACGTTTTCTAAAAATTCCAGGAATATACATTGGTTTAATTTAAACAGGACTGGTATTTACATTGTCTATTTCTGTATAATGATTTGATTGGTAAGGGAATTAACTTGATAATCTAACCTATTGAACCTTAAAGCCACTACGTGGACTGGGTTTGCGCAACATGGTGAGTAGTTAGGTTTGTGATACAAACACCACCAAGGAGGTGGAATGGTCTAAAAGAGAAATATTAGGTTTTTTATTAACTGCCTTCATACAGTAAATTAAATCATGGTTTTATAAGTCATGGCTTTTGGGGTAAACATGTCTCTCTGCATGTTAAGCCACAAATCATGATTTACAAACCACAATTTCCAAGCTAACATATTAAACATCACCAAATAAAAACCGTGTTATAACTTAGCACTAAAGTCATGGATTCTGAAAATATGATCTTCAATAAAAAGATTATAAAGAGGTTAAAGATTAAAGGTTACAGGTTTAGGTTTACTGACAATTTTCTTCCACTGAGTTTGGGAAGATTTCATTCTGGGTTAAACAAGCTTATAATCAAGGAGAAAACTGGATGTGTTTCTTTCCTCAATGGGAACTAAAATCACACATGGATGAAGTCTTTTTATACTAGAGAGATGATTACTGCAGCATATTAATGATTAGAGACAACCACATTTCAAAGAATTAACAAAGTCTTAAGTATTTACATTAGTAACAGAACTGAATAAGTACATTATACCCATTCCATGCTTGCTCTAAAAAGATTTATGTTAAAAGTAAGAACCTAACTAATGCAGCTTTCTTTATCATTACAGTATAATGACAAGAAGCTGCACCTGGTGAATATCCACCAGGAGCCTTAAAAAAAAAATCCCAAGAGTTCTTCAGAAACTGATAATCAAACATTTATAAGACAAGACAAAAATGACTGCACCCAGGCCTGGTAAACACATTGCTGTTAATCACTTTACTTGATCATGGTTCATTGAATAAACCCTAATTAACTGGATCAATGTAGTACAGAAAGACACAAACTATGATAACTTGATGCAGTGTCTGCTCCTGAGCCTAGTATTTCCTAAAGGAAAAAAAGTGTGTAAAACTTCCATAGATGTCTCAGTGCTGGGTAAACCTGACCATTGTTACAGACATCTGCAGAGCAGTAAATGTTATTTCAGCTGATCTTCTGAATCCAAATCTGCATGTTCACTGCAGTCTGCCTACAGCATGGGTGTCAAACTCGCCACATCATGTGACTTGTTGTGATGTATTGCAACTTTTTTTGCATTGCCAGAGCTGGGGTGGGCACGGCCTTCGCATGATGCAACTGGCCCGCAGGCTGGCAGTTTGACACCCCTGGCCTCTCCTAGAGGGAGAGACCCAAATAAGAGCAGCAGTTTCCAACTAAGATGCAAATCTTAGCAATCAGTAGCATTCAGCTGCTGAGGTCCCTTCAACTGTTCTCCGACAGTTGTTCCTGTAACCCAGCATCTATTACATTGTCATCATTTTTTAGGTTGCTAAGCCATGGCCCCAGGAAACTATGTTCAGCAACCCAATCTGGGGCTGTCAGTCAACCTAGGAAAACTTCAGGGATAGTGACTAGAAGTTTTTCCAGCCTGACAAAATGTTTCAAATAAAGAAGAAATGTGTTTAGGTTAGGTTGTGGTTTTAATGGTGCTGGTATTATTATAAGTATCATGAATTTGCATTGGCAGTATTATGACAGCTTCTGATAAATGTTGATTTATTGTAATGCATTCTGCATAATGCTGTAAGCCACTTAGAGTCATGTGACTGAAGTGGCAGAGAAGCATTTGCAATAGACAAACAGGAGACACAGCGTGATTTGGAAATAAGCTACTTTCTCTCACAAACACCTAGATGGGTTACTCAGTGATTAAGGTTACTTTTTGACAGCCCTTAGAGTAGAAAAAAAATTGAATGAGAGCAAAAGAGCCTGAATGAACTTTTAAAATCTGACATATCCCTTTTCTTTTTCTTCTACAGGTTTTGGAAAAGGAGATGCAATAATAAGTTATTAAATTTACATGCCATCTGACTTCTGTTCACAAGCATCCTGCAACTTGGGAGGACCATCTCATTTTATTATGCCACTCTGAACAAACCCCCTGAGCAGAATGGGATCTTTACTTTGGTTCTCACCAAAAAGTAAAACTTTAGTAGGCCCAAAGCAGAATCTGCTAACTGTTCTTCTCATAAAGGAACAATGCTCCCACCAATCTCTGTATCTGCACTTTAGGGCAGGGAGCAGGACTGGGTTAGAGGAGAGGAAGGAAATTGGCACCAACAAAACTACATATCTCCCGTGGTTGAAAATCAGTGGGTTTGGCTGCTGACTGAGAAGATCTATTAACTTCAGGGCATTGTCTAGCCAGATCCTACAAATGCTACAGGATCACAGCCAGTTTTCTCCTGACTGAAACCCACAAGCAATCACAATGCCCTGAAGTCCTGGGAAGTTTCAGTAGCATCACTTCCAGGACCTGAAAGAAGCTCCAGAGGCAAGTAGTACAGGAAGAATAATGACTGGAATTCTGCCTCAGTCCCCCCACCTGTGAGTGCAAAGACTAACTCAGAAGAGAGGGGGAACAGAAGAAATTCAAGAGGGAAGGCTAGAAAGGCCAGAGAGCCGGCCTTTCTTTCCACAGCTGATCAAGACCACAGACCCAAACCTTCTTGGCTTCGGAGTGGGAGGGCAGCGAGCGCATCCGTAAGGCAAAACTTGAGCCCGGGCGCCCGATCTGCCTCTTCCGCCCGGCCGCGGACTCCAAGGATCGGGGTCGGACGTCGAAGCGAGGGCGTAGGGCGATCCGGCCGACGTACCTTGTAGCGAAGAGCTTGGTGGATGTCGGCAGCCAGCTGTCCTTTCCACCACTGCCCCTCCAGCTCCATGGGGTGGGAATGAGGCGGCCGGGGATCAGAGCGGAGGAGCCTGCGGGGGAAAAAAAAAGAGAAGCCGCGCCGGTTCTTAACAGCAGCCCATCGCCCGCTGAATGCTGCTTCCCCAACTCCCAGGCAAGCGGCCGGGACGGGCGCCCCGCAGTTAGCCGCCAGCAGGAACTCCGCCCGCCCCGGCCGGAGTCCCAGACCTTCCCCCCTCGAGGGAAGGCGGGAGGAGGCCAGCCGGGGGGGGGCTCCCAGCTGATTCCACTCCTCGCAGTTCCAAGAGGCGGCAGCGGGAAGCAGACCGGCCGACCGGCCGGGAGCGCTGGCCGGGAACGCGGCCCCGATCACCGGGGACAGCAGGAGACCGGCTGATTCGGAGTCCGAGGGATCTTCCCAAGTGGGGCAGCCGGGCTGCTGGCGAGGAGGGGGCGATTCTTGACAAGGGTACCCGGACCGACTCGCCCAAGGAACGCAGCCGCGACAGCCAAGCGGAGCCGCGCCGCCCTCCGCCTGTCCCGCAACAACTTCCAACTTCTCCCGCTGGAGGTGGGAGCCCCGGACAGAGCGGGGCCGCCGCCACAACAAAGGGATAGACCCGCTTCCCCCGCCTCAGCTGCCCCGGACGGGCGCTTTTCTCTCTTCCCCCAACGCCGTGCCGGCCGTCGTCGAGATTACCGAAGTTCGTAGCTCCGCTTCTGCTCTACAGCGGCCAGGAAGGGAGAAGCACCTCCAGCATCTCCCCGGGCATGTCGGTTAAAAGCAGCCGCGGGGTCCCCCGGGACCTTTGGCGCTACCAGCCCCGTCCGGTGGAGCAGCCCCTTTCGCCCATTGTTAAAGAGCTCGGCAAGCGAGTCTGTATATACAAAGACGGGGAGCCAGACACATGCGGCCGCGCCTCCACCAATCCCCTTTCGCCTTACAACTCCACTCAAGCCGTGCTCTCCAATCAGCACACAGCATCCACAGGGCCTCCGCCGCTTCGTTTACCCCTCTTGCTACATGCGAGGAAGTTTTGGGCCAATTGAATTGCCGTAGCCGCTCAGACTTATTAAAAGATACACACGGACGGCGGATGGGGCGTCACGTGGTCAGGTTTTGTGCAAATGGGCTTAGGTGTGTATTGCGAAAGGTGGCTGCCTTTAAAAAAATATGACAAGGACGCGGTACGCTTTTGTAGCCTCTGAGTTGGCCGGGTAGGCAGGCGAATGCCTTTTGAGCAAGTTATCGTATCGGGAGCGCCTTAAAAGTTTAGGAAAGTTTCTAAAGTAAAACTCGTGCAAGAAAGAGGCAGGGAAGGAGAATCCGAGAGACAGGGGAATCGTGTGGATGGTTAAATATTCGGAGAGATCGCTCGCCTTGTTCCTTCAACGCCAGAAACGTCATGATAATTTTTCTCCCCCAGATGTGCTTCATTGTAATCTTCATTTTAATCTTTCACTTGCATTGTTTGACAGAGCTGCTCTCTAGACATAAACTGTGCAAGGCATGTTTATTTTGCGGTATTTAATTACAGACGTAAAGCAGGGTGCATTGCCTAATAACTGTTTTTAAAGACTCTGCAGTGCAATAAGGATAATTGGGTTTCAATTTGATGCATATCTATTGAGAGTGAATCCAGTTTTGAATGGAATGGAACTTTCCCCTGTAGATAAGCATCTATCTGTCTCTGCTATAGCATAATTCTGTGCCTATAGCATAATTTTCTGAAGATTACAAAATCTGTCTTAATGGGCTTTACTCTAAAGGTAACTGTCCACGCTACTACCAGTAGGATAAGCCATATTGACTCCAGTGGGATTTCTCAGTAAAATATGACTTGGGCACATCGTCTCTTAATACAGTCTTTGGCAATTCAAACCGTAAACAAGCAATGAATAAAATGAGAATTAGGTTGAAAATAATTGGTTTGCACAATTTTTTTTCAGATGATGCAAGCAGATGCATCTTTCATGTTTTGTTCATAGGATGGACAAGGAGATTTTGAAACATAGATTAGTAGGTACAGGGTCTTGATTCTTCCCATCCTGGCCTTTTCAAATACACATATGTGGTAATCTGATCTGTTCTTTCAGTTTTGTAAAGTTGAATGTTTTGGATATACATATTTCATATACAATATATAAATTCTAATGAATAAGATCTGTGTATGCAGGATCAGCCTTTCTTGATGTTTTCCCATGCTATGAAAGATAGGTGTGAGTCCAAGAATCTTCAGGAATGTGTCATATCATTGGAAAGTTCTAGGCCAATTTATCTGGGCTACAAAAACCTAGATAACCAACAAATGGCAGCAGACAGATATAATAAATCTTCTCTCTTTGCTGCCAGCTAGTGCTTATATAGAGTGTTGTAGCTCATATACGGTAGCTCCGTCTTTCAAATTGCAAAAAAACAAAGGTTCTAAGAAATAAGTCAGATGTTGTTTTAAGCAGGTTAAGGGTTTGTATTTGTTTAAAACAGCCAACAGCTGTGGTTGGGAGGGGCTGGTTTTCAGTGGCATAATAGTGCGTAAGGAAAGGAATATACTACAGCACTTACCAAAATGATTCATTCGGCTTTTAGCCCCGAAATTAATGTTCCTGTCATTTTGACAGCGTATGATCCAATTTTCCTGAATTTCTTGCAGGTCAGTCTTAATTTTGCAAGTCAAACTAGCCATGTAACTGCATTGATTTGGCCTTAGTGGTTTAACAGGGCCAAACTGCTGAGAATTTTCTTTAATGCTATAAGTCTGAAACTAAAGGCAGCTGAGGCCACTTAAGCTATCTTTAAAAATGTTGTCAAACCCTGCTTACTTTACCATCTTCTTAAAGTACTAGGATGTACCGTACTTTAAGAAAAAGAGACAGCTAAAAATGTTTTTAAAGCTAAATACTATTTGTGCTACCGCTTTTAAGAATCTCCAGTATATTCTGACATTACAGAAAAAGGGATACCTTGTGATCATGCCTCACAAAGTTTATGGATCATGTGAATGGGTGGAACATATTTTCTTTTAAAATGATGTCTCTGGAAGCATTGCTTACAGCAGTTGCTTACATGCTGGCTAGGGAATTTTTGGAGTTGAAATCCACATGTCTTAAAGTTTGCCAAGGTGGAGAAACACTGACTTACAGAAACAGGGGAGGTTTTCTTTAAGGCTTTCTAGCAAATGGTCTAAGGAAGTCACGGATAGAAAGGAACTCTTATTTTGCAGGCAAAAATTCATTCAAGGCCGGTGGTGGGATTCAGCTGGTTTGCACCAGTTCGGCAGAACCAGTAGATAATTTTTTGTTGCCCAGGCCCAGAACAGACTTCCAGAAGTGGCATCCACACAGAGACTCAGTTGTTCACATTTGAATCCCACCACTGCTCAAGGCTCAATCAAAGGCTGGTGACAACTGGGAATTAGAGGAAATTGAGAGTATGATGTAGTTTTTCTGCATTTACTTTTAGACGTTGTTGAAGTATACTTTTTTAGAAAACAATTACAGTTTTGTACTTGCATATATCTAATGCTAGTTCCATGTTGTGTTCAGTTTGAGTTGGGGTACCTAGATGGTCTGATCATGCTGGTTGGACATTTTATTCTCACTATGTGCACCAAGGGATTTATTCAGCTTTGGATTCTGTGAAAGGAAGCCTTTCTACCCTTTGCTAAAGCTACTGTTTTATTTTTACTTTCCTGGAATAGGCTTTAATAAAAATTGCATTGGGGGAGATTAATTTAAAATGACAGTGCCCTGAACTATGTGGGATTCTAGAATTGGAGATATAACATTGTTTTTATCTCTCTTCACTTTCCAGGTTTGAGATTGACAAAGGAAACTTCTTGGGGGATACTTCTCTCTGCAGTGAATCACATTATATAATATTTTACTCCCTGCAATGACTACTAACCTTTTGCAGGCCCAATTCAGAGTGTGAAGTTTAATTTTCAAAATCCTAAATAACTAGGACCCAGGTTTCTTGGAGAAATCTCTATTCCCTTATTTACCTACACGAATCCTAAGATTTTCCTCTGAGGTTTTTTTTTGCTTCAAACAAAAGAGGACGAGCAGCCAAATAGAGGAAGTCTTTGCAGCGGTGTCAACACATAACTGAAATCTTTTTCCCATTAGCATCCACATTATGGACCTGAAAAGTAAAAAGAGGCATTTAAAATGTATTTCAGTGTTTATACACATTTCCTGATTTTATTGTTACGAAATTTATGTATTGCAGTTATTGTTGACAAATTTATATAAAACCACAGAAAATATAAGATACATCCAAAATATGTTGTTTTTCACATCTTCAATTTGATTTTCACCTAGGCAAAAGAATTGCAATTACTGTGCAATCCAGAAATATATTAACTTTAATTTGATCCGAATATATGAATATAGGATCGTACTTTTTTTCTCTTTTGCCATAAATATGTTCCCCATTCCAAAGAAATTGCTTTATTGGATAGGTTACATTATATCTGTTGGGATTCTTCTTGAGTAGAAAAAATGCTAGTGGCATGATGCTAAGTTTTGTTCTTGAGAATTTTTGGCTTTTCTTATACAGGTTTGCCACATAAGAGTCTATAAATTCAAAGTTTTGATCTTCAAAAGACCATTTCAACAGATTCTGTGGAGCTTGCAAAAGGCAAAACTGAACAATAGATTGTACCGTGATATTAATATAGCAAAGCATGATGGTTTTGTTAACATCTATATTGCTATTTTGAATGGAAGAAATCTTATTTATTAACAATTGACAACCTCATAAGAATTTAGGCTTCAGAAAATCACTGTTTATTACTGAGATGATTTCGTTCCCGACCTATTATATCTTGAGGTTGTGATATTCCCCTGGATATATGTACAAGTCATCACATCCAAGATGATGGGTGTGTCTATTCCTCCCACTTAAACACAATAGGGGCAAGATGCAGGGCTTTTTTTCAGCCGGAACGCGGCGGAACCGCGTTCCGGCACCTTTTTCCGGGCCGGCCGCACCGGAAATAGCCCCTCCCACACCGGAAATAGCCCCTCCCA